GTGGGAGACCCATGGGGTGGGAGACCCATGGGTGGGGGTCCCCTGGGGTGGGGGGAACCCCTGGGGTGGGGGGCACCCACCTCCCTCAGGCCCTGCTGGGCCATGGCGCGGAAGCTGAGGATCTCCCCGATGATGGTCATGCGCTTCAGGACGTTCTCAGCCGCTGCGGGAGGAGAGGGGTGAGGGGGGACACGCGTGGGGACACACGTGGGGACACGTCCCAGCCCCACAACCCCCTGCTGTGTCCCCGAGTCCCCCCCCGACACTCACAGGTCAGGCGGGGCAGCAGAGCTGCCATCTGCTCGGGCTTGCAGGAGCTGGAGCGCAGCTGCACCAGCGTGTCCATGTTCTCGTTGACCAGCTTCTGCGGGGGACACGAGGCCGGTGGCATCGGGGACATGGCCAGCCAAGAGGGACCCAACCTCCAAGGCTGGCCAGCAAGCCCAGGGGACAGGGAGAGGACTAGGGTGCTCCCAGGGTGGCCCCAGGGTGGCTTCATCACCTCCAGAACCTGGTCCCAGCACCCCAACCCTGGTCCCCACCCCCGGTGACAGCCCTACCTTCAGCTCGGTGACCTGGGAGCCCACGTGCCACATCAGGTTGTCACTCAGGAACTTCATCCCGTAGGGCCCGATGAGCTCGGCCAGTGCCCGCATCTCTGTGGGGAGGGGGACAATGACGGGGACACGGGTAGGTTGGGGACACGGGTAGATTGGACTGGGACCAGCAGGTGGGGGGAGGTCATCCTGCCCCTCTGCTCTGCCCTGGGGAGGCCCCAGCGGGAGAACTGGGACCAGTTGTGGGCTCCCCAGTTCCAGAAGGACAGGGAACTGCTGGAGAGGGGACAGCAGAGGGTATGAGGATGATGAGGGACCTGGAACATCTCTCTAATGAGGAGAGACTGAGGGACTTGGGGCTTTGGGGGCTGGAGAAGAGAAGACTGAGGGGAGATCTCATCAAGGGTGGGGGTCAGGAGGATGGGGCTGGTCTTTTTCCAGTGGTGCCCAGTGACGGGACAAGAGGAAACGGGCACAAACTGGGACATAAGAAGTTCCACCTCAACATGAGTAGGAACTTCTTGACTTTGAGGGTGGCAGAGCCCTGGCAGAGGTGTCTATTTTTGTCAGTCAGGTTGATGGTTGGACAAGATGATCTTTAAGGTCCCGTCCAACCTAGAAGATTCTGTGATTCTGTGATTCTGTGGTGGAGTCTCCTTCTCTGGAGACATTCAAACCCCCCCTGGACACGTTCCTGTGGGACCTGCTCTGGGTGGGACCTGCTGTGGTTGGGGGTTGGAGGGGATGATCTCCAGAGGTCCCTTCCCACCTCATATGGTTCTATGATGCAGATGGGGACATCAAGGAGGCTTGGGGGATGAATGACGTTCTCCCCACCGCAGTGTCCCCCCATGTCCCTCACCTGAGACGTCGGAGAACTCGGCGGCGCTGAAGGGGGGCTCTCCCTCCCGGGGCACCGTGGTGAAGGCCTGGAGGGCCGGGGCCAGGACGATGGCCCCCGTGCTGGCCTGACGCAGCAGGGCCTCCAGGTACCTGGGGACACCGAGCTGCTGCCACCACCCAGAGGACCCGTGACCACCTCCCCTGAGGGACGGGAGGGTCCCGGGGTGGTGGCACCCACCAGTTGGTGTAGATGGTGGTGAGGGTCTGGTCGCCGGCGGCGTCGCGGGGCTGCGTCTGCTGGAGGAGGACGCTGCGGATGATGCGCCCCGTGTCCAAGCCCACCAACTGTCCCAGCGACTGGATGAAGGTGACGTAGGCGCCCAGCCCCACCAGCACCTCCGAGGGACGGGCCACCTCCTGCGTGGCCTGGCTGTAGCCCGCCATGGCCACGATGGCTCTGTGGAGACAGGAGGGGGTTGTCCGGGGAGCGGTGGCCGTGTCCCCTCCCCGGCAGCACCCACGGGCCACCCGTCCTGTGTCCCGTGTCCCCAGCGTGGTCCCTACTTGGTGAAGCGTGTCTCCAGGTGGCTGCTGAGGTACTCGACCGGCGTCACCGTGTGCTCGAAGACGGTGAAGTTGGGGACGTGGTTGAGGCTCAGGGACAGCTCGGCCAGTACCAGGTGCAGCTTGTCCATGCTGGGGTGGGGGGACAGAAGCCATTAGCCACACCGTGGCCCCCCGGGGGACAACCCCACCATCATGCCGTGTCCCCACATCACACCATGTCCCCACATCACACCATGTCCCCACACCCAACGTCTGGTGGCCATCGTGCCCCGCCAGCCCACCCTCGGTGGCCCCAGGTGGCTCTCACTTGGTGGTGAGGGTCCGGTCCTTCCTCTGGCTCTCGGCCCCCGGTTTGTCCCTCTCGGGTTCCCCCTTCTTGGCCGGTTGCTTCATGGTCTTCTTGTTGCGGGCTTTGCTGACGGTGGAGGCGCAGTGCTTGGGCAGCAGCTGTGGGCACGGGCAGCGCGTTACCACCGGCCACAGCACCCAAACGGGGCCACCAGGACCAGAGGCCACCATCCCCAAGGTTCAATTAGGGGGGACACCCTGCCAGGCCTTTCTTCCCAAGCTGTCCCAAGGCTTTGGAGAACATGGAGGCCAAGGAGGCCACAGAGATCGCAAAGGTCAGGATAACCCAAAGGTCACAGAGAACTTGAAAGCCACAAAGGCCATGGAGATCCTAAAGACTATAGAGGTCATGGAGACACTAAAGACTACAGAGATCATGGAGACCATAAAGACCCCAAAGGCCACAGAGATCATGAAGGTGATGGAGACCTCAAGGTCATGGAGACCTTGGAAGCTCTGGAGACCCCAAAGGCCACAGAGATCCTGAAAGTGATGAAGACCTCAAGGTCATGGAGACCTTGGAAGCTCTGGAGACCCCAAAGGCCACAGAGATCCTGAAAGTGATGAAGACCTCAAGGTCATGGAGACCTTGGAAGCTCTGGAGACCCCAAAGGCCACAGAGATCCTGAAAGTGATGAAGACCTCAAGGTCATGGAGACCTTGGAAGCTCTGGAGACCCCAAAGGCCACAGAGATCCTGAAAGTGATGAAGACCTCAAGGTCATGGAGACCTTGGAAGCTCTGGAGACCACAAAGGCCACAGAGATCCTGAAGGTGATGGAGACCTCAAGCTCATAGAGACCTCAGAAGGTCTGGAGACCTCAAAGGCCACAGAGATCCTGAAGGTGACGGAGACCTCCCATGACCTCCCAAGGTCATGGAGACTTCAGAGGGTCTGAAGACCCTAAAGGCCACAGAGATCCTGAAGCTGACGGAGACCCCAAGGTCATGGAGACCTTGGAGGCTCTGGAGACCCCAAAGGCCACAGAGATCCTGAAGGTGATGAAGATCTCAAGATCATGGAGACCTTGGAAGCTCTGGAGACCCCAAAGGCCACAAAGATCCTGAAGGTGACGGAGACCTCCTGTGACCTCCCAAGGTCATGGAGACTACAGAGGGTCTGAAGACCCTAAAGGCCACAGAGATCCTGAAGCTGACGGAGACCCCAAGGTCATGGAGACCTTGGAGGCTCTGGAGACGCCAAAGATCCTGAAGTTACTAAAGACTACAGAGATCATGGAGACCATAAAGACCCCAAAGGCCACAGAGATCCTGAAGGTGATGGAGACCTCAAGCTCATAGAGACCTCAGAAGGTCTGGAGACCTCAAAGGCCACAGAGATCCTGAAGGTGATGAAGACCTCAAGGTCATGGAGACCTTGGAAGCTCTGGAGACCCCAAAGGCCACAGAGATCCTAAAGGTGATGTACAAAGGTCAGGATAACCCAAAGGTCACAGAGAACTTGAAAGCCACAAAGGCCATGGAGATCCTAAAGACTATAGAGGTCATGGAGACAAGGGGGGACACCCTGCCAGGCCTTTCTTCCCAAGCTGTCCCAAGGCTTTGGAGAACATGGAGGCCAAGGAGGCCACAGAGACCACAAAGGTCAGGATACCCCAAAGGTCACAGAGAACTTGAAAGCCACAAAGGCCATGGAGATCCTAAAGACTACAGAGATCATGGAGACCATAAAGACCCCAAAGGCCACAGAGATCCTGAAGGTGATGAAGACCTCAAGGTCATGGAGACCTTGGAAGCTCTGGAGACCCCAAAGGCCACAGAGATCCTAAAGGTGATGTAGACCTCAAGGTCATGGAGACCTTGGAAGCTCTGGAGACCCCAAAGGCCGCAGAGATCGTGAAGGTGATGAAGACCTCAAGGTCATGGAGACCTTGGAAGCTCTGGAGACGCCAAAGGCCACTGAGATCCTGAAGGTGATGGAGACCTCAAGATCACAGAAACCTCAGAAGGTCTGGAGACCTCAAAGGCCACAAAGATCCTGAAGGTGACAGAGACCTCCCATGACCTCCCAAGGTCATGGAGACCTCAGAGGGTCTGAAGACCCTAAAGGCCAGAGAGATCCTGAAGCTGACGGAGACCCCAAGGTCATGGAGACCTTGGAGGCTCTGGAGACGCCAAAGATCCTGAAGTTGATGGAGACCTCAAAGGCCCTGAAGACCTCAGAAGCCCCGGAGGTGCCACCCTCACCTGCTCGCTGAGGTTGTGCTGCTCAGCACAGGCATCCATGACACAGGCGCTGGCCTGACGGGCCATCTCCTCCAGGAACTTGTTGCACATCCCCAACGCAACGGCCTTCAGGTGGGGGTACTGCGGGGGAAAAGCCACCACACCATCATGGCACGTGGACCATGGCCAACAGAGAACTTGAAAGCCACAAAGGCCATGGAGATCCTAAAGACTACAGAGATCATGGAGACCATAAAGACCCCAAAGGCCACAGAGATCCTGAAGGTGATGAAGACCTCAAGGTCATGGAGACCTTGGAAGCTCTGGAGACCCCAAAGGCCACAGAGATCCTAAAGGTGATGTAGACCTCAAGGTCATGGAGACCTTGGAAGCTCTGGAGACCCCAAAGGCCGCAGAGATCGTGAAGGTGATGAAGACCTCAAGGTCATGGAGACCTTGGAAGCTCTGGAGACGCCAAAGGCCACTGAGATCCTGAAGGTGATGGAGACCTCAAGATCACAGAAACCTCAGAAGGTCTGGAGACCTCAAAGGCCACAAAGATCCTGAAGGTGACAGAGACCTCCCATGACCTCCCAAGGTCATGGAGACTTCAGAGGGTCTGAAGACCCTAAAGGCCAGAGAGATCCTGAAGCTGACGGAGACCCCAAGGTCATGGAGACCTTGGAGGCTCTGGAGACGCCAAAGATCCTGAAGTTGATGGAGACCTCAAAGGCCCTGAAGACCTCAGAAGCCCCGGAGGTGCCACCCTCACCTGCTCGCTGAGGTTGTGCTGCTGGTGATGTAGACCTCAAGGTCATGGAGACCTTGGAAGCTCTGGAGACCCCAAAGGCCGCAGAGATCGTGAAGGTGATGAAGACCTCAAGGTCATGGAGACCTTGGAAGCTCTGGAGACCCCAAAGGCCACAAAGATCTTGAAGGTTACGGAGACCTCCTGTGACCTGCCAAGGTCATGGAGACGACAGAGGGTCTGAAGACCCTAAAGGCCAGAGAGATCCTGAAGCTGACGGAGACCCCAAGGTCATGGAGACCTCAGAGGGTCTGAAGACCCTAAAGGCCAGAGAGATCCTGAAGCTGACGGAGACCCCAAGGTCATGGAGACCTTGGAGGCTCTGGAGACACCAAAGATCCTGAAGTTGATGGAGACCTCAAAGGCCCTGAAGACCTCAGAAGCCCCGGAGGTGCCACCCTCACCTGCTCGCTGAGGTTGTGCTGCTCAGCACAGGCATCCATGACACAGGCGCTGGCCTGACGAGCCATCTCCTCCAGGAACTTGTTGCACATCCCCAACGCAACGGCCTTCAGGTGGGGGTACTGCGGGGGAAAAGCCACCACACCATCATGGCACGTGGACCATGGCCACATCTGCAGCACACCCCAGGGCTGCCATCATCCCTGTGTCCCCCCAGGGCAGCAGGACCCACCTCCTCCGGGCACATGGGGTGGACGCAGCGGGAGAAGTGGCTGCAGAGCAGGGGGAAGGCGATGCTGTAGCGCAGCATCGAGGGCTCCTCCATCGTCGCCATGAACATCTTCTCCATGGGGCGAGGGTAGAAACTGCAGGGGTCCACAAAGGTCAGGATACCCCAAAGGTCACAGAGAACTTGAAAGCCACAAAGGCCATGGAGATCCTAAAGACTACAGAGATCATGGAGACCATAAAGACCCCAAAGGCCACAGAGATCCTGAAGGTGATGAAGACCTCAAGGTCATGGAGACCTTGGAAGCTCTGGAGACCCCAAAGGCCACAGAGATCCTAAAGGTGATGTAGACCTCAAGGTCATGGAGACCTTGGAAGCTCTGGAGACCCCAAAGGCCGCAGAGATCGTGAAGGTGATGAAGACCTCAAGGTCATGGAGACCTTGGAAGCTCTGGAGACGCCAAAGGCCACTGAGATCCTGAAGGTGATGGAGACCTCAAGATCACAGAAACCTCAGAAGGTCTGGAGACCTCAAAGGCCACAAAGATCCTGAAGGTGACAGAGACCTCCCATGACCTCCCAAGGTCATGGAGACCTCAGAGGGTCTGAAGACCCTAAAGGCCAGAGAGATCCTGAAGCTGACGGAGACCCCAAGGTCATGGAGACCTTGGAGGCTCTGGAGACGCCAAAGATCCTGAAGTTGATGGAGACCTCAAAGGCCCTGAAGACCTCAGAAGCCCCGGAGGTGCCACCCTCACCTGCTCGCTGAGGTTGTGCTGCTCAGCACAGGCATCCATGACACAGGCGCTGGCCTGACGAGCCATCTCCTCCAGGAACTTGTTGCACATCCCCAACGCAACGGCCTTCAGGTGGGGGTACTGCGGGGGAAAAGCCACCACACCATCATGGCACGTGGACCATGGCCACATCTGCAGCACACCCCAGGGCTGCCATCATCCCTGTGTCCCCCCAGGGCAGCAGGACCCACCTCCTCCGGGCACATGGGGTGGACGCAGCGGGAGAAGTGGCTGCAGAGCAGGGGGAAGGCGATGCTGTAGCGCAGCATCGAGGGCTCCTCCATCGTCGCCATGAACATCTTCTCCATGGGGCGAGGGTAGAAACTGCAGGGGGGGACAGAGGGACAGAAGAAGGGGACAGAGGGACAGAAGAAATGGGCAGAGAGGGAGAAGAAGGAGACAGAGGAAGAGGGGGAGAAGAAGGGGGCAGAGAGGCAGAAGAATGGGGGCAGAGAGGGAGAAGAAGGGGACAGAGGGGCAGAAGAAGGGGGCAAAGAGGGAGAAGAAGGGGACAGAGGGACAGAAGAAGGGGTCAGAGAGGGAGAAGAAGGGGGCAAAGAGGGAGAAGAAGGGGGCAGGGAGGGCAGGAGACAGGATTCCTCTTTCTGGACATGCAGCTCCTGTGCCACACGCATGTTGTCCCCGTCCCCACGTCCACAAGGATGTCCACCTGACCTTGCCCAACCTCTCCCATGGGTGACACGTCCCCCACAGCCACCTCCATCCCATCCCACACTTCCCACCCAACCCCACACTTTCCACAAGTGCTGGGGTGCAGGATGTGGCCCGAAGGTCCCCAGCCAGGGTGACCCCCCCCGGGAGCGTGGGGAGACTGAGGCAGAGCTCACCAGAGGTCGGAGAGGTCGGAGGCCTCGGCCAGGAGCTCCTCCAGGGAGTCCAGCAGTTTGGTGTGGAACACGATGAGGTTCATGACGCGACCCACGTCCGGGTTGGAGCCCAGCGGCAGAGAGGCCTTGGCCACACTGGTGTAGGCCTGGGGGGGGGACAGAGGGGACAGGGGACAGGGGATGGGGACAGGGACAAGACAGGGATGAGGATGGACAATAGGGAAGGGGATGGGGACAATAGGGAAGGGGATGGGGACAACAGGGAAAGGGATGGGGACAATAGGGAAGGGGATGGGGACAATAGGGAAGGGGCTGGGGACAATAGGGAAGGGGCTGGGGACAATAGGGAAGGGGCTGGGGACATCGATAGGGAAAGGGATGGGGACAATAGGGAAGGGGATGGGGACAACAGGGAAGGGGATGGGGACAACAGGGAAGGGATGGGGACATCGTTAGGGAAAGGGATGGGGACAATAGGGAAGGGGACAGGGACAGCAATAGGGAAGGGGACAGTAATAGGGAAAGGGACGGGGACATCGAAAGGGAAAGGGATGGGGACAATAGGGAAGGGGATGGGGACATCGATAGGGAAGGGGACAGTAAAAGGGAAAGGGATGGGGACATTGAAAGGGAAAGGGATGGGGACAAAAGGGAAAGGGATGGGGACAGTAATAGGGAAGGGGATGGGGACAACAGGGAAGGGGATGGGGACAACAGGGAAGGGGATGGGGACAGTAATGTGGAAAGGGATGGGGACATTGAAAGGGAAAGGGATGGGGACAACAGGGAAGGGGATGGGGACATCGATAGGGAAAGGGATGGTGGGGAGAACGGGGAAAGGGATGGGGAAAACAGGGAAAGGGATGGGGAACAACAGGGAAAGGGATGGGGAACAACAGGGAAAGGGATGGGGACAATAGGGAAGGGGATGGGGGACAACAGGGAAGGGGATGGGGACAACAGGGAAAGGGATGGGGACAGTAGGGAAAGGGATGGGGACAGTAATGGGGAAGGAGATGGGGACATCAATAGGGAAAGGGATGGGGACAACAGGGAAAGGGATGGGGACATCCGGGAAGGGGATGGGGACAACAGGGAAGGGGATGGGGACATCGATAGGGAAAGGGATGGGGACAACAGGGAAGGGGATGGGGACATCAATAGGGAAGGGGATGGGGACAACAGGGAAGAGGATGGGGACATCAACAGGGAGAGGGATGGGGACAGTAACACGACAAGAAGAAATGGTCTCA